TGAGCTGCCGGCATGGCCCGGCAGAGCCTTCCTCCCACTCAGGAACTTCCTCCTCCTCTCATAGCAATAGCTCTTAGGGGCTGCAGGTGCTCATCTCCTTGCTTGCCCCTCCCGCTTAGCTTTACCCCTTCAGGACAGCCACCAGCGCTGTCCCAAAAATGAGCCACGAACCCTATCAGGTACTTGGTGCCGGCAAGGTGCCAGCGTGTTTTATCCTGGTACGAGGTCCCACCTCGGGCAGCTGCGCCGGCACAGCCCCGTCCCCTCCTTGGCTCGGACGCACACGGTGGCACCACTCGCGTCCCTGCTGCAGAGCCAGTGCCACCCCCAGGGATGGTCAGGACCAATGTATCTTAATACAAGAAATCAACTTTTTAAAGAATGTTTCTACCCAAAGCTTCCTGTAGAAGCAGAGTTTATTCTTGTGAGAAATGCAATAAATATCTAGCGTTTGCAAAAAAACGCCCATTGGGTTTTAAATCTGAGCTCACAGCTGCTGTCAGGGTCAGAGCCAGGGCCAGGGCCGTGTCACCCCGGGCTGGGCTCACACGCAGCCAGGCCATGCTGCTGTCACAACGGGTTTAGCTCAGCACTGCAGCCCTTTGCTTCCCGGCATCCTGCCTGTGCTGCCAGACCACTGTCGAGGGATGGCCATGGGAGATGCTCCAGCGCCAGGTCATGGGGCATTGGGGTGTCTCAGTGCCTCCCTGCTCAGCCTTGTGGAGAGCTCAGCCCCACAGTGATGGCTTGGGACATCCTGGGGAAGGCTCAGTGCACAGAGGATGTTCGAGGAGGGTTGGTGGAGCTGAGGAGTTTGGCTTTCCTCAGGGAGTGGGGCGCTATGGGGACCTTACATGTCCCCTTTCCCAGGCAGCTCAGGACCAGCTGGAGCCTTGCAACAGGTCCCTGCCCAGGGGGCTTGCCCAGGGGAAGATTGCTCAGCCTGTTTGGTATAAAATGGCAGTAATTGAACCTCATTTACAGTGCACAAGGACAAAGTAGAAGAGTAAACAGTGGTGGCTGTTTGCATTTATTCATCTGCAAACCATGCAATTAGGATTGCAGAGCCGAGAAAGAAGAGCACGATTGTTCCCTGCCCCGCAGCCCTGCTCCCTCCTGGGGAGCTCAGGTCCTGCTCCCAGGCCAGAAAGGAGTCAGCAGCTGGGAACCACCTCCCAGAATGAAGTTATTTTCCCCATGGCATTGGGCCAGGTGTAAAAAGAGACTCAGAGATGCTTCACTGAGCTCTAACCATGTCCAACAGCCGCTGCCGGAGGTGAGCCCAGGGCAGGGGATGCGCTCAGAGCTCTTGGCTGCCTTGGCCAAGCACGATGGTTCAGCAAAGCTGAGCCGTTGGGCTTTGCAGCAGCCGGAGTCTCCTCTGGGCCTCTCCTCCTATTGCTCACAGCAGCAGGTTGGTTGGGATCTTCCTCTCCCTCCCTTTCCCGGGTTTTGCCACACAAGTCTCTTCCCTGACCCAACTGCTTCTAAAACCCATCCTTCCAAAACCTGTTGGCCAGCAGCTGCAGCTCCTCCAGTGCAGCCCCAAGGGAGGGGGCAGCAGCTGCCACGCACCCCTCCCAGGACAGATGCAGTTCTGAACAACTCCAATAAAGCCACAAGACTCACTACCGTCACTGCCCAGCGAGGGGGGCCAGGGGGGACACCCAAACCTCAGCAATGTGAAGCACCCTGTCAGCACCCAGGAGGTGCAGGAGTCCCTTGGCCCCACAGCTCAGACACGGCTGCGTTCACATCTCACCCCACGCTTACCTGGGTGCTGCGGTGAGGGGCCAGGGCCCACATGCTGCTCCTGTCCCCGCTGCCAGGTTTGCAACGGGATTTACTTCACTCCAGGTCTGGCCCCATCTGCCAGGGCTGCAGCCAGCCAAGCTGCGGCACAGGCTGGGCACCATGTGCCAAAGAGCATGGAAAATAATAATTTTAAAAAGCCTGACAGCTGTCCCATGAATCAGGGTTTCGGGGAGGGAGTTTACATGGGGGCAGCCCCTCGCTGCCAGACCCCGAGTCCAGCCAGCAGGATCCGATCCAGGGTCCCCTGGCACAGGGACGCGCGCTGGCCACGGGGCAAGTGCCAAGCGTGGCGGCAGGAGGGGAAAGAGACAAGAGACAGAACTACTCACAGAGGCAAAAATTTAATGGCAAGTCATCTTCCCTCCTTTATTACACCTTGGTTAGCCAAACAAAAAAAAAATCTGCAGGTAAAAAAAGTTTTAATGGTTACACAGCACTTTATACATATATCGTAAGCAACCAAGCATCCACATCTGCACGTGAACGACAAACCTCTAAGCATGGCCTCAATAGTCAGGTTTTTTTTTTGTGTGTGGTTTTTTTTTTTCCTTCATTAAATACTGTACAGAACCAAGGCTACAAACTGATTTTGTAATGCTGCTTCCCCTACCCCAGCACTTAAAACAGTTACAGGCTGCTCTCATTTGTACATCACACAGTCGTGTAGCCAGTTTTAAGGCTAACAATATGCATCATGCTTTGGCTTTTTTTGTGTGTTTTTATTTATTTTTTTTTAAGGTTTTAGCCTTTTAAATTTTGTTACCCTTAAATATTACATACATACACAAAAAATTACATAGCTGCAGTGTGCTCACCACCAACCTCATCACCCAGGAGCTTCACATTATCAAAAGCTTTAGAAAATCTGTAAACCTCCGTGCGCGCGCGGGTTTGGGACAGCCAGCTATGGAGAGCGAGCGATGTCGGGGCAGGGGCAGCCGGGGAGCAGCGTCCCCTTTCCAGCAGACCAACACACATCTCCTCGGTAGGAAGCCCCAGGAACCTGTGCAAAAGCTCTTGAATGCGATCAGATGGAACAAAGATTTTTTGGGCGAAGGAGAGGACGCGCAGGGGTCCGAGCAGCTCCTCCCTGAGCAGGTGAGCAGCCCCTGCTGACCCCTCCACATGAGATGAGAGCTGCAGAGCAAAGGGCGGGCAACACAGGGAACCCCAGAGCTTCTCCATCTCCTCTACCCCCAGCCGTGGCTCAGCCCTGAAGTGTTTGGTTTTCTCCCTCCATCCCTGGACGGTGAGGCTAAGGACAGCCACAGCCCAGCACAGGGGACAGAAATGGCTGTACATCACCAACTGCAGTCTTGTCCGGTGAGTAAGAGGTTTAAATCACTTGTGGAACAACCCTCTCCACCTGCCCTTCTCCTGCCCCAAAGCAACAGCCTTGCCCCTCAGCCCCAATTGGCCCCTTTATATTTTGGAGATGCCCCCACCCCTGGCTCAAAGGGATTCAGT